TTTCAATATGTGCCAGAAGCCATTGCCATCTTCCAACACTGTAGACTGCTTCTGTGTTGTATTTTATTTTTATTCTCAAATGTCAGCTGCTGGGGAGGAACTGTAAAGCTACACATTTCACAGAAGTAACAGAAATCGAAAAACTCGAAGAAAGATTAATAGCACTAATCACCTTTAATGGAAATACAATGTAACTGAACCTGTTCTTTACTTAGTTATTTGTTTATTTTTACAAATGAGTCTATGATGCTGGATTTTTTTATACTCCCTCCCATCACACATGCTCACATGTACACACTGTAACATATTTATTTCCATATTTTAAATGCAAAATTATTAACCACTAGTTAGATATATCCAAAATATTGGTCACTTTGTTAGACACACCTGTTCAACTGTTTAGTAATGCAAATATCAAATCAGCCAATCACAGGGCTGGAATTCCTTTAGGCATTTAGACATAGCAAGCAAAATGGGAAACAAAGGTGATTAAGTGACTTTAAGCATAGCATCGGCTGGTCTGAGTGTTTCAAAAACTGCCAAGAAACTGAGATTTTTTGGCATAACTATCTCTAACTTTGACAGAGAATGGTCTAAAAAAAAGAGAAAATATCTAGTGAGCAGTTCTCTAGTTGTAAATATTTTGTTCATGCCAAAAGTCAAGGGAAATGGCCAGAGTGCTGATAGGAAGGCAACAGTAACTCAAATAAACACTTACTGCAACTACGGTATGCAGACAACAACAACACATCAAACTTGAAGTACATGAGCAACAGCAGTAGAAGACCAGACCGGGTGGTAAAAACAGGAATCTAAGGATGCATTTCATCATCGAGTGGGATGACATAAGATTGGAAAATGTTGCCAATTTTTTTTTCCTTACAGGCTCAGTTTCTATGGAGACATTTAGATGGGTGGGGTCAAAATTTGGCATAAACAATATGAAAGCACAAATGCTTTGTATTAACTGTTCAAACTGCTAGTAGTGGTGTAACAGTTGAATAAATGTTGTGGAATGGGAGATTCACATCACAGATGTGCAGATGACATGATTGTACTTTCTCCATATGTTTGTCCTGTTTATATCTCTTTTATAATTTCAGTTTTCGCACACTGTGCATTTAAATGGGGGAACTGCTAGGTATGGGCTACCCTGTACAAATGAAAGTTGATTTACTTGCCTCGATTAGCGATCCTGGAGGAGACATAACAAAGACACAAACTACGGATTTCTTGCTGTCTGCTGGCATGAGTGTTTGGTTAGTAAAGCTTTGTGCAGCTGTTTTACCTGCTGGTGCACCATCAGCCTAACACAGCCCAGTGCTTGAGGAATCCATGTTATTGAGACAAGCTGTCAGTACCTACTGACTAGGGGGAGACAGAGAAAAACAATAACACTGCAAGAAGAGGGCAGAGGGGAGCACGAAAGCTAGGGATAGCTCAAGGGACTGTGATTGAGACAGAGTGCAAGTGATGCATAGCTTCAGCTATGATGTTCGTGACTGAATTCTTGACATGTTTTACTATCTTGTAACCCTGAGCTGTGTTGGTAAACTTACCGTCGAACAACTCTGCAGATAGTATCACTTTAATATTACCTTTTGCCACTGGAACAGTAAACGCGAAGCTGTAAACTTGCAGATGATGGGCTCTAAACTATAGCTTTAGAGATAAATCGTGTATGTATAAAGCAATATACTTTAACAGAAGGAATAATATATTTGATAATGAAGGGAATCAGGTGTCACACTAAAAGTTCTACTACTGTAATTTTAACGATTTTTGCTTGTTTTAGCACATCTCGGAAGGATCTGCAATAAAGCAAATTTTTGTACACTCTGTTCATTGTCTGTTCACAGTCATGTGGTTTGCAGTATTTCCACACAGACATTACTTATTTGATGTCCGTCATAACTCCAGCATTTGATGTAGCTGTTTTGACTCATGGATGAGTTAATGTTCTTTAGGAGATTGAAAATGGGTTCCTTTCACATTTGAGTTCCTTATTTGAGCATCTTTCAAAAAGACAGTTTTGTGGTGGTCATTTCTCTGTGCCTATAGGGATGGTGTGAGAAAAGTGTATGATGGGTGCATACTGTATGATTGAGGTGTGTGTCTGTGACTCAGCTGTCATTGTCTGTTGAAAGAGGCTGTAAATCCAACTCCAGACACGCTTTCTGTTAATGGGCTTTTTATGCCTGGTGTAAATGACAAAAGGTATGAAGTTTATGGTTTCTTTTAAATATATGCACATACATACTCGCACAGAATTAACATCACCTCTGTCCTGCTTGAGTCTACGCGTGATGACACAAAGTGTTTTTCATATGGCGTTCTTCTGATAAGAAATGTTTACATGTTTTAAGAGCGATAGTCTTTTACAATTGCTATATCATTGTTATTGCTCCTATGTGTCTTGGTTAAAAATGAGAGATTTTCTGGAGTAATTCGTGTGCACATAACTAAAGTGAGAATTGTACTGAGTATAAACATATAATCATTTGTTTGAGAAGAGAAAGGTACTTATCAACAATATGTATCATGGGTGCATATTACTGTCATTAAATTTAAAATGCATTTATTTTTTTCAAAAAAGAAAAATAAAATCTCAGTGCACATTTATAACAATAATCATAATGTTCTTTTTGTGCCATTTTCCATTAAATGACTTTTATGACTTGCAAATTATAGCATTCTTTTGTGTTATCTTTATTTAACACAGCATCCCAAATTTTGAAATTAGGCTTGTAGAATTGCACGCAGTATCGTAAAAAGGACAAATTGTTGGAAAGCTTTTGCAGAAAATCTGCTAATGCTCTGAATTTAAAGCAAGTTTGGTGCATTAAGGTAAATTTACACACCATTTGGCACATGAAATTTTCATGTGGTCTGCCAGCGAATTGTACTGCTGGTATTTCCATTGAGTTTTGTGAAGCGTTAGAAAGACTCCGTTTCTTTCTCACTTATTTTTGCTTTTTTTCTTACTTTCTTACTGGGGAAAACATTTTTTGAAACCCTGCTGAATTTGTAAGTTTGTTCACTTACAAAGAAATGAACAGTCAGTGGAAATACAGAATATCAACCAAAAATTGATTTATATAGCATTGATTGAAATAAGTATTTGTTCTCCAAGCAAATAATAACTGAATATTTGTTAGCAAGCACAGTAAGACGCTGCTTGTAGTTGGTCACCAGGTTTGCACACATCTGACGAGGGGTTTTGTCACTTTCCTTGGCTTTCTAAATCCTTTTAGTTTCTTGGCTGCTGTTTGGCAACTTATAGCTCCCTCCACAGATTTTCCATAGGATTGAGATCTGGAGACTCGCTAGGCCATTCCATGACTTTGATTTGCATCTTTAGCCACTCTTTGCCTTGGTGTTATGTTTTGAAGACCTATTCACAACCCATGTTCAGTCTTCTGGCTAAAGGAAGGAAGTTCTTATCCAAGATTTTACTCTGCATTGGACCCTCGGTGCAGTAAAGTCATCATGTACCCTTAGAAGAAACATAGCCTCAAAGCTTAATGTTTCCACCAACGTTCTTGACTGTGGGGATAGTATGCATTTCTCTTCCTCAACACATAGCAGGTTGAGTTGCCAAAAAGCTTGATTTTGGTTTCATCTGACGTAGCACATTCTCCAAAACATTCTCTAAATCATTCAGATGCTCAATATCATGCCATGTGCGTTATCAAGCAGATTTGCAGATTTCAGTCCATTACAGCGTAGTGTGTTACCAGTGGTGTTTTTGAGGACTGTAGTGCCTTTTGATCATTAACAAACTCCTATATAGTTTTACGATGCACCCTGTCACCTTTTTCGTGATCTTCATCCCCTTATGAGGCAAGATCTTGCATGGAGCTCCAGACTGAGGGCAACTGATGTCCATTTTATATTTCTTGCATTTCCAAATAATCGCACCCACAGTTGTCACTTTCTCACCAGTTTCTTACTTACAGTCTCGTAGCCTGTTCCAGCCTCGTCTAAGTCTACAGTCTTGTCCCTGACATTCTTTGACAACTCTTTGGTCTTGCCCATTGTGTTGGAGAGGTGGGAATAGATGAAATTGATTCTGTCGACGGGTGTGCTTTATACACATAACAAGCTGAGATCAGGAGTGTCTGTAATTGATTGTGTGGTTGAATGTTATGTGCACCACACGGGCATAGAGACAGTTTTTGAGAGCCAGAATTCTGGTTGGGTTGAAGTGCATCGAATCCTTATTTCACTCCATGACATGCAACTTTTATATAATATGTTTATTCTGGATTTTTTTTTTCACATTCTGTCTCTATAAATTAAAATAAAACCACGATAAAAATTAGACTGTTCAACCTTAAAATATTTCCCCAACTCTATATACAATTATTGTGTTAAATTTTTTTAGTTGCAAAAAGGTTTTTGGTTGACTTTTTTTTTCTTTATCCAAGCTGCCATATCTCCAATTACTTGCAAAAAGACTTGTTTTTTGCACAAGTGAAGGACTGATTTGGCGAATGATGAAATGAATGGATGAATGATCTTGTGTCTGACTGGGTCCATTAGATCTTTCAAAATCATTGCATTGTGCATTTTGTTTCCATAGCAACTTCAGACTTCTCTGCAGAAATGCTAGTTAAAGGACAAACAGTAGATACCTCCTTATATGTAATACTTGTTTTTATATTTAAAAAAAAACAAACAGGTGACAGTGACAACTGCCATCTTAGCTGATGAGTTTGATGTTTTTTTTAAGGTGATGATTGATCATTGCAGCTACAGCAAGCTTTCAAAAGCTGGTACCCAAGAAAGTGGTTTGACATACAGCTAACTGCTAAAAAAAGCCTTGACATTTTCTTAGTGAAGAGATAATAAAAGATTTCAAAGTTCACAGAGATATAAAATAAATATGCTAAACCTATAAAAATGTCTTTTATCTGCAAAATTGTGCTTTGTCTTTTAGCGTAACATCAATTACTATTGTAGCATCCTAAGTAAAACCTTGTTGTTCTGTCTTTAAGGTCACAGAGAATGAAAAGAAAGTTGCTGGGAGAAAAGAGAAGAAGGAGGTGGTACAAACACCACCTCCTGTCATCACGTTCCCAAGGTCCGGTCGCAACATCACCAAGGGTCTACGAAGACAGAAGAGGGACTGGGTAATCCCACCAATCAATGTGGCTGAAAATTCTCGAGGACCGTTCCCTCAGATGCTTGTCAGCGTAAGTGACAGATTTGATTGGCCGCATTGCTGATGTGTTCTTAATTTACAGCTGGGATTTCTTGAGGGCATTTAACAAGTAAGGCTGATTGGGATATGTATAATGGATGGTGATAAATAACTGAAATACATTAGCATAACTAGTTTGTTTGCCACATCCTTGCAGATGATTATGCTGTGTTCCCCTGATGCAGCTACAGCCACAATGCCTTACGGTATTTAAACAGCCCTGATTGACCCTGAGAAGTTTTCCCCTTAGACACCTAAATAGCAAACTCTTGCACACTGTGAGGTCCCATAGGGTCACAGTGAAGCTAATGGTTGTTTATTCCTTTTTTTATGCATCTTTTCTTTCCTTTATCAGGTTATTTCAGAAAGGTTGCTTAAGGTTCAGTTCTATTTTTATAACTGTATAACAATGCAATTTGTCACAGAAGTTTTAGTGAAGCCTCTTGTTTGATATGAGAAGAAAGCATGAAATCCTGCCATTCTCAAAGTCAAAAGAGTAGAACAGTATTTCTTTTCTTCTGTGCCCTAATAGGCACATTAGTTTATTGGTTAAGAACTTCCTGTAAATAAAGAAGCAGCAGAAACATGACGAGTGTATAACCATGTCTTCGTTTAGCATTCAAAATCAGAATTTGTCAACAATTACAGATGGAAAATTGTATTTCTGTAAAACCTTTCCTTTTTTGATAAGTCTGTAATTATACGCTATATATAAGTGCTGCATGTTGAAGGTTAGATGCTGAGCTCGCACACCTGTCGAATAAATTAATAAATAAATGTTTAACTTGCAGTGCAAAGGCTTGAGTTGCAGGAGGTTTAAAATTCAGGGATTCTGTCACAACAGAATGTGTGGTTTGACTCGCTCATAGGCAAGCTCTTGACTTTAAGATTGCGGTGCACGCTGTAATTCATCAAAAAACATTCCACAAGACTGCTGCTTTATTCGCTGCTGCTTCTTTCCTTCTCTCTTTATCTGGAATATCTAGCCATCAGCTTTTCCTTGCTGTTTACAAAACTCTCATAGTTTATCTCTTTGGGGTTTAAAATTGTGCAAAAGAAGCAGATTTTTCCTATTGTTTCTCTTCTTTGTTTTTCAACTGGGTTTCATCCAGTCCCCAGGGAAAAGCCTGGGGAGCTACTTGAAGGAAACTTTTTTATTCATTCTTTTTTTTTTCTTCCATAGTGAAACAAAAACATCAAGTCAAAGAGGAAGGAGTTTGTAAGTCTGTGTTTTGGAGTGAGTGCCTCTACAGCTGGAGTGTGTCCCATCAGCCTGGCACAGTGTGGCTTTCTCATCTGAGCCTGCTGAGCCCATGAGTAGTGCTACACCAGCAATAAACTGGCCAGACAGTTCTTCTATTTCCATGAGCTGGTCAGAACCAGAGAGAGACAGAGGAGATGGCGAGGGGGAAAGAGAGAGAGGGTATCAAAGGAACATTTGGAAGCATAGTTTGCAGCCAAACACAATTCACTTTGTGTGGTAAATAGGTCCGTCAGGGGCTAGTGGATTGCTGAGAGCTGAGCGTTTCGAGCAGAGGAGAAGTGATGCGTGTTGATGCCTCTGTTGGACTCTCAAGCTCCCGTCTTTCTCTTTAATGATGACTGGGGGGCAGGAAAGGCCATACTGAGAGCTAGAGATTTTAACAAGGACACAGGGGTGGACGGCATGGGGATAATTTTGTCATACTTGTTTATCTGCTTAGTCCTTTCTAATAACCTACTTTGTCCTCTGTTGAAAATTCGGCCTTTTATGCATCTGTTTCTTTTCCCTCAAAACAAAACAAAAAAATGAAGCAAAAATGCATATTTTATTCAATAAAAAAAGGTCTCGAAGCAGCGCTTGGAGTCTTTCGGTCGCCCTTCAGTTGCACCATTACTCAGTGTTCTGTGCACTATGGCTGTGTGATGCTACTTCTAATGGTCTGTGAAGTCAGTCTCTTTCTTAATGGGCTGTTCTGTCATCCAAAACAGCACTGAGTGACATGCAGGCAGTGGCCCTCCCGACCATCCTAGTACTTTTCTCCCTGCCCTGGCCGAGTTGCCATCAGTTGGACAGGTGGGGTGACAGCAGCCCTCACCTGTATCTCTGCAGGTCTACAGCGCTGTCACTTTGATCACGCTAGCACACGATTGGGCAGGTGTCAGGACAGAGCCCCTACTGATTGGCCTCGCAGCTCGCAGCCTGACATGGCTCGAGGGAAATGTTGACTGCATAGGCAAAGTTATGGCAGAACTGTTCTCCTATCGGTCTCTGAAGTCAAGGCAGTGACAGTGGAATGTTATTGACTGAATTTTATTAATAGCTGTGCTGTGCTAAGATGACGGCTTCAGAACCCTGCACTCCCCTACTGTACATCAAGTTGTTGTGTACATGATATCACTCTGTGGTTGAATGTTAGACCTTATCAACCTCTAGTGTCAGAGTTGTGAGACTGAATGTAGCTATTCTTCCTTTGCCGATAATGGCCAGTAGTGCTTCCTTACAACAAATGGGCATGAGCGCTGCATAACTCGTAACAAAAGGATAAAATGGAAGACTAGCAAAGAGAGCAATTGAAAGGATACAAAAATACTGTTAGCACTGTTCTAGACAAAACAAAGAGATCCAAAAAGCCTATAACAAAGAGCGAGCAGAGTAATTTTTCACAATAAACAGGTGTTCTCTGTCGTTTCTTTCTTCTATGGCCAAACTTCCATCAATAGTATGTAAGGGACATTGATTTTTCACAGGGGCTTTTTGAAACCTTTCATTGATTCACACACTTCTCCTACAGCAGAGCGGCATCGATTTTTTTTTTTTGCTTGGGTAAATAAAGACTCAGCGTAACCACCCAACTCCCCCCAAATCCCTTATTCGCCCCAACAATTGCTTAACCCCACCATTAGAACAAGCATCAGCTAAAAAAATGAAGAAACCCCTGATGAAACAACAGCATAGATAACGAGTAAGACCAATTATGATTAGATGTCTGAAATGGTTTGGGTTGTTTGTTTGTTTTTGTGTTGTACTGCTGCCGGTTGAAAATAGCAAAGAGTATAAACACTGGTTTTGTCAGAATTGCTGGTTGCCTGACAGGCAAGGTTTTAGTACCACAATGGAAATATTTTTTTATCCAGTATCTTAAACCTGAAGTCTCTGCAGTGATCCAGTGACAGGTGCTGTCACCTAGGTTAGACCCTCTTGGTCAGCTTGGCCCTTTCTGTGTGGTTCTGCCTTGTTGGACTTCTTTCGTCAAAAGATATTTATTTTTTTCCAAAAATATCCAATTCAGGCTCACAAACAGGCCGAAGCCTATCACAGCTGCCATAGGGCAAAGAGTAGGGTGCACCCTGAACACATAGAGACAGACAACCATTGGCACTTACACCCAGGGCCAGGAATTACCAATTAACTTAACATGCATGCATTTTGACTGTGAGGGGGAGTCAGAGTCCCTAGAGAGAACCTACACACAGGCAGTGAGAGAACCAGCTGGTGGTTTTAAACCCAGAACTTTCTTGTGCTGAGACAACGGTGGTAACCTCCGCACCACTGTGCTGTCTGGTTAAAGACATAGGTTAAGTTGATTTGCGCTTCTAAATTGTCGGTGGATGTGAGTTAGATATTACTTAAAGTGCATAGAAGAAAGTGTATGTCAAGCTGTGGCTTGCAGTTTGATGGACATTGGTCACTAAGATTTTAAACTCCTTTATAAATGCCAGTACAGATAGTGACAGTGATCACGCAAATACAAAAAAAAAACATAGTGGGCCTTTTTTAAAAGATTGTTATCCTTCTCTTTTTCATCAGATACTTTGTAGACTTTTTCACCATAGCTTTTGTTGTACTGTAAGTTGCTATCCTTACTGCCTTTATCACTATAGTTGTTCCTCTCTTCAGCTCCAGCAAATCAATCATTCCTGTCTGACATAAAGCGCATCACAGTTGAGGTGCCAGGGTGGGTATGTCACCACAGGCAGCAGATTTAAAACCGTGCTCCTGGGAAATAGAGATTTTTTACTTGTCGCTGATAGGCTTAATCAGCATTGTGTGAACTCGGATCGCAAAGGCACGAATGTAAAGGCAGTCAATTTGCATAGAAGACTTCCACACTTGAGCTTTAACATAGTAGACACAAATAAAGAATAGTGAGGTTTTGTTTTGCTCTTTTTTCCCTGGACATGTTCTGGATTTGTGTGGACTAAAATGAGAAATGACAGCTTGTGTGAATTAGCACGCTATGGAGGTGTGGCACGCACTGTCACCTTTGGTTTGACTTCTCTCATTTTTCTTCAGTGCTGCCGTTTTAGGTCTTTAAACTCTCAGCCTCATAATAAAAAGCATTTTTCAAAATATGATCAGAAGATGGAGTCAGGAAATAAAAGCCTGTGATGAGAAGTCGTGCATCAGAACGTCAACATCGCTGGTGTCAGGGCAGATGTGGTCACACCCCAAGACAGTCTGTAGTTATCCTTGTCCTCGCTCGTCTCTCCCCCTTTCAGCGTCTCTCACTTTTTCAATCCTTTTCTAACCTCCACAGCTCTGGGTAATATTCTAGTGTTTTGTTTAGTGGAGATATTGTTTCGAGAGAGAAGACATTTATTTTGCGAGCTGGACTCAGGGATGTGAAAAGAGTGCAATTTCAGCTAAATTGTTGTTTTTATTGGATAATATTTCTTTGGAAGAAAATTTTTCTGTCTGCTGGCTCTCGTTCAGACAAAGAAGCCAGATATTCCGATAAAGTGCGGTTGCATCCCTTAGTAACCAGAGACATTATATTGACAGGTATACCATGGTGAGAAAGAGCAGCGAGGAGAACAATAAGCCAAACAGATGGACTCTTGTCTTCAGTCACCGATATGATCAGAAAGCCTTTTATTGGACATCATAGTTGATTTGTCATTTGTTTCAGTATTTATTGTAGGTATTTATTTCCTGCTAGTAGATTTAGACCCTGTAAGTTAAACGCTGACAAAATACTGACATTTGTATCAGATTGTCTGTGTGTTGCA